TTGTTTTTGGTTTGCCATTTGCAGTTGCTCTGAAGCAAGACAAAACCATGAGCCTGGGTTCAGACATAATGCTAAGCCAAACCATGGCTAAGGCCTGGGTATCAGGGAAGGCAGATTTTCTCTGAGAATCCACACATTCTCTTGTTTGCTCTAAGCCATTGTTAGGCTTAGTGTTATGTGTGAACTGGGCCAGTGTGTACTCTTAAAGAAATGAAAAGTAAAGACTCAGATCTTATTCTACACCTGCAGAAACAAGTCAACAAAGAAGGCTAAACCAATATCCACATGCTGTACCAGCACTGCTTCAGTTCAGACCCAGAGGCAGTGAAACGGTTTGAAGTCTAAACCACCATATCATGAAACCCTGTTAAATTACCGAAACTCATTGCTAAAATAAAATATAAAACCTTGGTTCTTCAAATCACTTCAGGTACACTTTACCACTATGAGAAGGGACAAGAGCATTGCTACAGAAAGGGTGTGTGGCACAGACTCCTTAATAGAACTATAACGATTAAGTAAAGGTAAAGGTTAAGGGACCCCTGACCATTAGGTCCAGTCGTGGCCTGGGGTTGCTACGTTCATTTCGCTTTATTGGCCGAGGGAGACGGCGTACAGCTTCCGGGTCATGTGGCCAGCATGACTAAGCCGCTTCTGGCAAACCAGAGCAGTGCACGGAAACTCCGTTTACCTTCCCGCCAGAGCGGTACCTATTTATCTACGTGCACTTTGATGTGCTTTCAAACTGCTAGGTTGGCAGGAGCTGGGACCGAGGGACGGGAGCTTACCCTGTTGCGGGGATTCGAACCGCCAACCTTCTGATTGGCAAGTCCTAGGCTCTGTGGTTTAACCCACAGTGCCACCCGCATCCCTACAACGATTAAGTAGTATCCACGTAAAAAAAATGGGTTTAGGCTTCTTTACTGAAATCAAAACCTCCCATGTTCCTTTTTCTATTGATGCTGTCCGTGCCAATTCCACTGACTACGTTGCACCATGCCAAGTTTCCTGCTCTCACTTCTGCCAAGTTCAGCAAGTAACTTCTCACCATCCCTTTCCAACCAGAAGTCAGTTCTACTGGTCAGTGGGGTCAATCAAGCTGTTCGCAAAGGCCTGTTGTTTCTGCATATACCTCTCACCCCAGGAAAAGATTGCCACAAACGTTATTTGCTCTCAAATATGTTTAGTAGTTTAGCATAACATCACACCTCCACGTAGATCATTGTGACCCATCTACAAACATGGATGTTCTCTGAAACCACAGTTCATGCATTAGAACAAATGATATAAACACTGAGTGTCTCATACTGTAACTAAGAGTTCTAGTTTCACTCATGTATAGTGGTACCTTGGGTTAAGTACTTAATTCGTTACGGAGGTCCGTTCTTAACCTGAAACTGTTCTTAACCTGAAGCACCACTTTAGCGAATGGGGCTTCCTGCTGCCGCCGCGCCGCCAGAGCACGATTTCTGTTCTCATCCTGAAGCAAAGTTCTTAACCCGAGGTACTATTTCTGGGTTAGCGGAGTCTGTAACCTGAAGCGTATGTAACCTGAAGCATATGTAACCCGAGGTACCACTGTGCATTCAATGCTTGCTTACTCTTGTAAGCATGTGAATGGCATGAATCTGTGATTCACACATGCCAGTCATCACAATGTTACAGTCAACGAGTCAACATGCATGTGTGAATAAGTCCTAAGATACACAAATGCAAACATATGGTCTTCCACTGAAAGTCTTTGCAAAGAAGAAAAACCTTGTATCTTGCATTCGTGTTCCAGTGTACTTAGTACATGTTAACTAAAAATTAAGTATTGATCCCTCAGAATGAGGAGGCAGAGGGCAGATCCTTGCTGAAGTCACCCACACTTGAAAGGTTATATAAAGTTTATGTGCAAAACACTGCCCCTACAGGAGTATGCCTTGCACTATATGCATATACAAATGCATCGTGTATACTTCCAGAAGCAACATGCATCCATGTAAATGCATAAAGATACCATTATTACTGGTAAACAACATTCACAAAATGGAAGTACATATATGACGCCAATCGTTTTGATGTGCAACCCGACCTTGATAGTATCTCACAATGCTATAGGGTCCAATACTATATTTATTGGGTGGGCGGGCGATTCATGATACTGATAAGGAATCTCACAGGTCTTCTACCTCAAGTTCACAGAAATTCTGAAACATAAGATTCGACAGTTCACACATCTTATAAATTTGCTTTCCATATACAGTGGTACCTTGGGTTAAGTACTTAATTCGTTCCAGAGGTCCGTTCTTAACCTGAAACTGTTCTTAACTTGAAGCACCACTTTAGCTAATGGGGCCTCCTGCTGCTGCTGCGCTGCCGGAGCATGATTTCTGTACTCATCCTGAAGCAAAGTTCTTAACCCGAGGTACTATTTCTGGGTTAGCAGAGTCTGTAACCTGAACCCTATGTAACCTGAAGCGTATGTAACCCGAGGTACCACTGTATGTGGAACTACTGGGAGAAATGCAAATATCATAAACTGTGTATAATCAAAAGGTTCATAGGGCTTTCTCCTACAAAATTTATCGAATATAAGACCTCCTATCTTGAAGCTCTGACCCAAACTTTTATACCAAAATTATAGTTGCTCCACCAAACATCTTTAATATAGACCAGGACTACCTACATCTGTAGAACATAGTGTAAAGACTTGGAACACCCAACTTCAAATCAATACTGAGCTATCCAGTGGGCGACCTCTTGTTTCTCAGCCTAGCCTATCTCCCAGGGTTGCTGTGAGAATAAAAGGAAGGGAGGACTATTTACACTGCGCCTTGAGGTAGGATAGAAATGTAGTTGCACCCAAGTGCATTTACAGCTCGTATCTCTTCTGCACATCCAGATACTGCGCAGAATGACTTCCATTCCTAACTTGCAGTGCAATGCTACACAATGAAATCTTACCATTCATGCATGCATCACACAGTTTCCCTTAGTTGTGCGGTTTATGAGCTCTGAGGGGAAAACCTCTTGCAAAGTAGTCCACACATTCACAGCATGTGATTTTTCTACAGGTTCTTTAACTCAGCTCCAATCATGGCAAATCTTCTCTGAAGATTCAAAGCACTTCTGCTGAGTACAAGCTATTTCCATGTCCAATTTCAACTTTAAACTCCCAGGCATTTTAGTGAAGTGATTGGCATTTTCTTGAAAAAGAAAAAGAGTTCAGTTCTAAAATTAGAATACACTTTCCCCCATCACTTGAAATGATTCCTCAAAAATTATCTGAGCTATTTTCTTCAACTATTAAAAAGCAACAGTGCAATGGTTCTTCTTGGAAGAAATCCTGGTTTAATTTGAATTTTAACACAGAGATACCCCCCAAGGTGCTGACTGAGCCTTAAAACCTGAGTAGTTTCACTTGCAATGAAACCCATTAATTTCAGGGAAGCTTATAATGTATTCTCAACAGAACTACTCTCATCAATAGAAGCTGCTTCAAAGTCAAAGTGTTTAGGACTGAAGTGCAAATGCTTGAAATCAGAAACTATGGCTGGAAGTAAAGATCACTGAATTCAATGGGGCTTACTTTTGAGTAAACATGTCTAGATGGACATTCAATGTACATACAGAGATAGTTAAGCTGCACACTCATTCAGTAATTCACATGCAATATTCAACCAGTGCACAGTCTATGTACATTTCAGCCAAACTGTGCAAATGAACAAACACTTGTACATGTGTAGACACAGTATGTCCCTGTGTTCAGTGAAACATGTGAACAGTCATGTAACCTGTGACCTCAGTGCAATCATAAGCATGTAAGTAACAAGGCTCGCAATCTAAATCATTTCTGTCCTTGTAATTCGACTATACCATTCTAAAACACATAAACACTTTATGAAAACACAAAACATCTGATTGAAGGAAAAGCTGGTATTAAAGCATATTGTTGTTGTTATTATTATTATTATTATTATAACTGTAAATCATATTGTTAAATGCAAATATTTCCCACCATGGTGATTGCGATAAATATTTCCAGTTGCACAGAAAAACAAACAAAAGACGCACAACAAAATGTTTGTGTGACCATATACTTCTGTATTAAAATTCAGTAGAGTTGCTAAACTACCAAAAGGTCAGCCAGAGAAAACAATGAGAGCTAATAGAAAAGTCCTGGAAAGCCATTAAAAAAAAGGGAAAAAAGACCTCATTTAAATTCTTGGAAAGCACTGCTTCTCTAAACATATCTATTCAACTCTTTGAACAGCCAAGTCTCACTAAATAAATAAATAAATAACCACACTGCCTACTGTAAGCCGCAGAAGTCTGGAAACAAAAAACAAAAAGGCTGGGTTCCACTAAACATTAGCAAAAATAAATAAATAAAATAGTTTAGGAATTGGTCTCAACGAAGACGACGACAACACACACACACACACACCTCCTCAAATTGCATTTATACGAGAGGGATTAGGAGTCGAACCAATCTCGGCTCCCTCCGGTTCTCATGTTCAAGATCACTGAAGCTCTGGGAGATTTGCAGGACAATTTAGCCCGTTCCTTGAATGAAGCTTGCGTTTCCCTGCACACAAAAGCGCCGGGTTATTAAAAGACAGAGAAAGAGAGAGAGAGAGAGAGAGAAGAAGAAGAAGAAGAAGAAGAAAGAAACGGCCGCCCTTCTCTTCGGAGAGCCAGAGGGCAAAATACTTCTGATCTCCCACGCACTTTGCAAGCTGCCACAATCTCGGTGTGAGAGAAAAGAGTGTGTGTGCTCGCTGCGCCGGGGGCCACTTCGCTCGCTCCGGTGCTGCTGTTGCCAAGCCCAGGCGCCGATGTTCCATTTGGGGGGGGGGAATAAAGGCAGCATCTCCCTCATTAGCGGGGCGGGGGGTGTAAAAAAAGAACGCCTTTCCCTTTGGCGAAGAATTCTCGCGTGCACATATAGAGGTATACACACACACACACACACGGAAGGGAGGGGTGTGCAGAAAGAAAACCCAGCAACGTACCACATTCTAGGAATTCCTCAAAGACCCAGCAGCAACCGAAGCTTCGCTTTAGACAGCAGATCTCTCCTCCTTCGCTGCTCCTCGAGGGAAACTGGCGGGGGGGGGAGTCGGGTCCCTTTAATGCACGCGCCAACCAGCTTCTCCCCCCCCCCCCATACACAAGCAGGCAGCCCCCTCCCCCAGCTCCTCCTGCTGCCCGCCAGCCGCCCAACTGTCAACTCCTCCTATCTCCCACGCCCTCCCCACTTCAATGGCACTGCATTATTAGTCCGCCCCCCCCAAAAAAACAGCTCCCTTGTCTGGGCGACTCCCGCTTCTGACCCCGGCTCCCGCCCCCCCCCCCGCCGCCTTCTCCCCTCCTTGCACATGGCCGTGAAGGTTGCACGCTGTGTGGCTCCACCGCGCGCGCGCGCTCCTGCCTGCCTCGCCTTCCCTGGGCGAAGAGCAGAGCCTCTCTCTCTCCCTCGACTCCTTTGGGAAATATTGTGTTGGTTGTTGCTGTTTGTTGTGACTGGGTCGACTTCACTTCGCCGCCTCCCGGGACGGCGGGTGTTTGTGTGTGTGTGTATATGTGGGCGGCAGGGTGAGAAAAGCGCGCGCTTCCCTCGCCGCTCCTTACCGTGAGTGGGGAGCGCAGAAGAAGGCTGGGTGGTTGGCCGCTGCCGCCGGGTCAGTTCATTACCATTGCCTCCCCTACCTCAGGAGAAGGAGGCGGCGGCGGCGGCGGCGGCGGCAGAGGGTCAAGTTAAAGACCCGGGAAGCTCAGCCGCTGCTGCTGCCGGCTGGCCGCTGCAAGCCTCGGTCGCCGCCGGCGCCGAGCGGTGGTGGACATACTGAACCAAACCCGGCGCCGTTGCCGCGTCTTGCTGCTGCTACTGCTGCTGCTGCCGGTGTCTCTGTGTGGCTGCTGAGGGGTGGGAACTGCCGCAGCTGCTGCTGCTGCTGCTTCCGCCGGCTCCTAGTCCCGGGCTGTGGGCGGGAGGGAAGCGATGAGGGACGGGAGAGGAGGGGAGGGGTGGGTGGTGGCGCGCGCGGCCCCTGCTCATTGTTCGAGGGAAAGGGCGGCCGAGGAGACTTGGACGCACGCGGGCAACCTCTTTGCGCACAGGGAGAGAGAGAGAGAGCGCGCGCGCGCGCCCGGGTGGGGCTCCTCGCTCGAAACTGGGGGATGCTGCCGGTGGTCTCTCGGGGTGTGTGTGGGGTGTGTGTGCGCGCGCACTCGCTGCTACTGCTCGCTCTCCCTCTCCCGCGCCGCACCCATATGGTCTCCCGCTGCACAACTCGCGCCCAAGGCTTAGCGAGCAGCTTCTCCCTCAAAAGTCTTCTGCAAGTTGGGGCTGAGGGGGACGGACCCCAATATGCCCAAGTGGGACGGGAGAGACCAAATTGACGCGCGCAGCTGCGGCGGGGGCAGCCGCGTTTCCTGAGGGGAACGTCGCTTGGGTTCCTTGTGAGATGCACCCCCCCACACACTCCTCAATATTTTTTGCCGCCTGAGGCACACCAGCAAATGGTTGCCCACTCTCCGCGAGCCATATATATATATATCCAGTGCTTTTTTTCTGGGGGGACGCAGATTGAGTCAAAATGAGAGTACCCCTAAACATTTTTTAAAGAAAAAAAGCACTATACATATACAGTGGTATACAGTGGTACCTCAGGTTACATACGCTTCAGGTTACTTACGCTTCAGGTTACAGACTCCGCTAACCCAGAAATAGTACCTCGGGTTAAGAACTTTGCTTCAGGATGAGAACAGAAATCGTGCTCCAGCAACACAGCAGCAGCAGCAGGAGGCCCCATTAGCTACAGTGGTGCTTCAGGTTAAGAACAGTTTCAGGTTAAGAACGGACCTCCGGAACGAATTAAGTACTTAACCCGAGGTACCACTGTACATACACACACACACACAGAGTGAGAGAGTGAGAGAGTGTTAAACTGAATAGCTAATGATTTCCTGGGTTTCAGGAGACCACAAATTAGACACCTGAGGCAGCCTTATAGCAAGACTGGCCCTGTCCAGACGTTTTGAATGCTAATGGCTAATAAAAGAACACTTCCAGGGGTTTTTTAATGGGGGAAGGCTTAATACAGTGGTACCTCGGGTTACATATGCTTCAGGTTACATATGCTTCAGGTTACAGACTCCGCTAACCCAGAAATAGTGCTTCAGGTTAAGAACTTTGCTTCAGGATAAGAACAGAAATTGTGCTCCGGCGGCGCGGCAGCAGCAGGAGGCCCCATTAGTAAAGTGGTGCTTCAGGTTAAGAACAGTTTCAGGTTAAGAATGGACCTCCGGAATGAATTAAGTACTTAACCCGAGGTACCACTGTAATAGCAAAAGGGTCGTGAAGATGTTGCAATGGGGCTGTTGGTTACAGGTTTTGATTTATTTATTTTTTAATTACTGGGTTTTCCATGGAAAGAGGGAATCCAGATTAATTGGAAGAGGGAGAATGCAGGCTGGCATGTTGATGGCAATGGCATTGCGTGGGCGCTGTGAAAAACGTGCCCATGTGAGCAGCAGCATTGATCCCACAATAAACACCTACCAGGAAGCACTCATAATCGGCAAGGAAAAGGGGGAGAAGAATGTCATTATTTCTGTGCCTAGTTACAGCTTCTGTCTTTTGATCTGAAAGTCTAAATTTGGACCCTAATAAAGCCTTAAAAATTGCACAGGTGCCTGAAGATTATGCGGGCATTTGGTACATATATCTTTATAGTTATCCACATATTATTATCATCCCCTACAAATTATGATTTTTTTTGCAAGCACCTTTAACTAGTATTTTTTTCTGTTTTACTTTTTCTAGCCATGACTTAACTTGCCTGTGTGTTTACAATTAGACGCTAGTGCTCTTTCATTGAACTTCTATTAAAAAGCGTACCATATATAGACTCAGTACTGTAAAAATGATATATATTCCTTTCATGTCCGTGGTTTTATTTTTGTTTTGTTTTGTGTTTACTCTTTTTCTTTTGTCAAAGTTGTATACTTATTAAACATCATCAACAACAACTGTACTGACAGCATAGGTTCTGTCTCTGTGTAGCTGAGTAGACTCTGTTCAGACTTTCATATTAATCCACTCTGGATTATTGACAAATTCAGAACACCTGAGCGAGGCTCATGGAAAGTGTAGACATTTGAAAACATGCTAGGGTTGTGGTTTGGGATGTGACTTCATACTGACTGACATGTTTTCACAACTGTTTCTTCTTCCTACTTTACGTTGCCACAGTACATGTTGGCAAACACCAGTGTGTTTGCAGCAAAGCACATGCAACTTCAGCATAGAATGTGCATGGATCTTAAGAAATACCTTGGATCTATGTGCCCGAATAGTGTGTTCTGAGGATGTGGTGATATAAATACAGTATGAGTCAAATGTGGATCCCTGCATCATTCAGATTGGAATTAAATGGTAATCTGAAGGTTTAGTATGCACCCATTCTGCCACTTCCAGAGATTGTGTAGCCATATTAGTTTGTTGCGGAAATAATTGCAAGAGTCCTCTGCGCCTTAACGTCTGACAGATGTTGGGCATGTCATGAAAATTGGACTTCTTATTTGGATGCTTCTTAATTCAGGTGCCCAAAGCCCAAACCCTCCTAAAGTCTGAAATTCAGCTCAGCAGAAGGAATGATTGTGTGAAGAAGTAAGAAGCAGGCAAGTTATTTCCATTCTGCTTTCCTGTTTATCCTCCCAGAAGTGATGTCACAGGGTTTGAGGAATATACTCTCTGGAGCTAAGAGAATTCTTACTGCTTTTTAAACCAGGATCTTCCCATACACATCAGCCATTTTACCAAATGTTCAGGAGCTGAACCTGGGCACCAAAAAGAAGGAAAGAAAGCCCTTTCTTACTAAGTCCTTGCTTTGAAATTATCAAAGGTGACAGAGACAGCACTTGCTGTCTGCAGTACTTCACTTGGGACAACTGTACTGTATGATCAAATCATCAACATGCATGCCTAAGATCACTGTTAGACACTTGCATGATCATCACACATAAGCATTTGCTTTTTATTTTGCCTATTGGTCTTACTTTCTGCATGGCCAGTTGGTTCTTTCCAATGGGTTCTCTGCAATGAATAGGAGATAGGTAAAGGTAAAGGGACCCCTTACCATTAGGTCCAGTCACGGACGACTCTGGGGTTGCAGTGCTCATCTCACTTTACTGGCCAAGGGAGCCGGTGTCATGTGGCCAGCATGACTAAGCCATTTCTGGCAAACCAGAGCAGCGCACGGAAACACCGTTTACCTTCCTGCTGGAGCAGTACCTATTTATCTGCTTGCACTTTGACGTGCTTTCGAACTGCTAGGTTGGCAGGAGCAGGGACCGAGCAACTGGAGCTCACCCTGTCGTGGGGATTCGAACCGCCGAACTTCTGATCGGAAAGCCCTAGTCTCTGTGGTTTAGACCAGAGCGCCACCCGAGTCCCAATGAATAGGAGCGGTTGGGTCCAAACGCAGACTGATCTCTGTATTAGAATTTGTGTGTTTGCACTATTGCTTCCTGAACCCTTTGAGTGCAGACTTAGTAGACTTCAGCAACAACATCTTCAAAATGTGACAAACTGAAGTACTTGTATGGCTACAGGTGTTATGTGTCTATACATTTCTCTGTGCAAGTATTTATATAGACGAATGAGTATGTTGCCAGGTGGATATTGCAGTCACTGCATTCTAGTCCATATCTTTATTTGTGCAATTTATTTTTCCCCTTTCACTCCCGACTTCTCCACTTCCTCTTTTGTGTGTTTGTAACACAGAAAGATCTTTCACCTTCAGGCTCTCGAGAGCGCTGCATCTCAGAAGTACTAAAGAAAGGACTGCACTGCAAGCCAGACTATTAGAAATGAGACCAACTCTAAACAGGTTGCTTTGTTGGTATGATTACTTTTTCTTCTTCTCTTTTCGCTACATCTCTAAACGGGAAAATTATCAGGAAGCAATTGCTGTTAACTTAGAAGATACGTCCTCAGAAAGCCTCTGGTAAGATAATTCTCCGCATTAGCATCCTGTGAATATATGCTAAATCTAACAAGGCATTGACTGGAGGATGGGAAAAGAAGCTTTTCTACACATATATTTAACTCCCCAGTCCCCAGTGTTAAGAATGCAATATGCAGTAAGGCTCTGTTGCCCTTGATCTGGAGAAATCAGCAGTGATTATAAACACCAAAGCAGCTACGTCTGCAAAAAAAACACCAACCAAAAAAGGCAGCGAGTTGCTTTTGTGACCTTCACATAATTGCAGCAGGTCAAGAAAACTGCCCTTCGTTTACCCCATTCTCGTTTATCCGAGAGCTCAGTGTGTTTTTAGCAATGCTTCCCAGACATATAATTGTACTAGTCTATCCAATGTCTATACTAGTCTTGTACGAAATTCATCAAGTGGAGCAGAAATCAAACCACTGGGCTAAAGTCAGATTGGAGGATTTGCTGTACTGTAATTATAGGGGAGCACCTGTGTGGAGGGCATGTTTATGCCAGTGGCGTAGCGTGGGGGGTGCTGGGGGGCCGGCCGCACCGGGCGCAACATCTGGGGTTAGGGCAAATCCATGGGTTAGGGGGCGCAAATCCACAGGTTAGGGGGCGCAAATCCACGGGTTAGGGGGCGCAAATTACTTGCCTTGCCCCGGGTGCTGACAACCCACGTTACGCCACTGGTTTATGCTGCTTGATATTCTGGAGACAGTGAAAATTCTACTCAGCTGAGATGTCTTTCTGCTGCTTTTACCAAATGCCACTTAGTGCATGTCACCAGATGAAAACTCTTTATTTTCCCAGGAAATATCCAAATGCAAATTAACAACATTGTGTGGGAGCCCATTCTATTATTATGGCACGGGAAGCATTTGTATTCAGTTTAGGATTCCAGACTGTCACCATTTTCAGGTGAGATTCAATCACATACTGACAAATTCAGGTTGCAGAACTAAACTGGTTTTGTGCTGTTGTCCAACCAAATTGTGTGTCCCCCCACAAAAAAACCCACCCACTTTAGACATTTTGTGAGAAGCGACAGGAA